AACAACCTTTCATCCGTTTTCGTTTTGATTTCGTTTATTGATAGATGGAGAACAGTTTTGGCAAAACACACCTCTGCTTTCTGTTCTCGGGAAGCAACTTGCTTTGCCTCCACGAAGTATTAAAAAGATGGCGTACTACAAGAACATTACCGATCAGTTTTTTCAACTCTTAAACGTGAGCTTTTTTCTTTTCCGGAATTTGATTTCTAGTAAGAGCCTGAGAATTATTAGGCTACGAGAAGCTTGTACGTGAGTTCTAGGGTGGGAAGTTTCCTCGAGAGAAATTGTCACAGCTATTTTCTATTTTTGTGACTGACATGAAGAAGAGGAGCCCATTGGCGGGAAGTGTTCTGGTTGACGACGTACTATTCAAGCCGTGGGAGGTGCGTTCCCCTATTATTCTCGTCCATAAGCCATTTTCTTTTTCGAGTGGAATCATGGTTTTTCTGTAGGTTCTGAATGCCACTGCTAGGTCGTCGTGGTCCTCATCTCATGCAACCTCTCTCTGCTTGCTGGCATTATGGAGTGACGATAAGTCAGGTCATCATTTACTGAGAGAAAATCCTCGCTTTCTACCGGTGCGTTAGTCGTATTGTGCACTCTAACTGAGATTGTCGAACGTACCACTTCAGGTGGCGGCTGTTCTGTTATCCTTATTACCTGTGCCGTCTTCAGACATCCCTTCTGCACAGAGGAATTTTCAAAATGACATACATAATGTTTTAAAGTTTGCATTGGAGAAGATCGAGAATTTGGTGAGTGTCACTACTCTATTTGCTGGATCTGATGAAGCCTAGCACGTTTGAATTTTAGTCAGAATTCCTACTCACTTTCATTACTGATTCATCTCCTGCGTTTCAAGTGTCACAAGAGCAAAGCCGTGTTCAAGTGATAGGCGAGACTTCATGTGAGCATCTGCATTACTTCAATTCGATAACATGCGTCCGTATCACGAATGATTTCGATCGTTTTTAGCTGTTTATGGGAAAGTGATCCTCTCTTGTCTTCATCTGAATCGCGAAGAACTTCTGGCGAGGAAAATAGATGCTAGCATCGCTTGGCTAAAAGTACGTTTTCTCCTTCCGAGTTATTGCGAGATTCTGATAGTACATTATTGGGTTCTGATATGCAACAGAACGTTATCATGTTTCTCCTGGGTCGCTACACCCCCACGTCTGCGGCGTTTAGAGTCGCTTTGGATGAAGGGCGTGTCATGCCGAAAAGTTCGGCGCGGCGAGAAACCTGTTCTCTATCAGTTGTTGAGACTGGTAAGTGACAAAAATTGAAACGAATTATACGAAGGATTGCAGTCTTGTCATTTGATTGCTTCATCAACTGGTGGAAGTCGGATTTGGCACTGCGCCCAAGCCATCCATTCTGCCACCACCAAACTGTCAGATCCATGCTTTCCGAAGTGTGAAAATGGGGATTCTAACTAGTGGCTAGTCTAATAAGTGTGGTCATTTACCCTATTCTACACGGTGTGAGCCGCACCTCTTCGTGGTAACGTTCAAGAACAGAGTAGGTTCTTGAATGAACAAAGCCGTGGATAATGGTGTACGTTAATGAATCGCAAGCTGTTCATTACCCAAAACACGACGGGACGTAAAAGTTTCCCTGTGCTGCATAAGAAACGGCGACCTTTATCTGAAAAACGTTACATTTTACATGGAGGTGTCCTTTTGTGAATAGATTAGCGTCTACGCGGAAAATTTTTGTCCAATGTTCGTACTATTACCACTTCCAGAGCCTGGACCCGTTGACCGCTACCCGCTTGTTTATCGATGTTGCTTGTAAAAGTGTAAAAATGTGGGATGCTGGTGCTGATAAACAAGATGCCCCTCGATTTACTAGTCACATCGATTCTAGCATTAGCGATACTGGTATGCTAATGTTTCATGCTTGACAATTTTTATTCAATTTTTATTGCTTACAATAAGTTTTCGCTGTTTGTGAAATACTCCGTGATTTCATAAGAACTCAACTATTTTGGTATAGAGTTCCGACAGTCATCGTCTCATCTGATTGCTGGCGTATTCTTTGAACAACTTCAAGATGGTGACTTCAACTTCTCTGATACCGGAATAATCCTGTCACTATTAGATTTGATTCAGGTGCGTCGAATTTCTTCTTTTCGCATGCTTCCCTTTTTCTTTAAACTTTTCTGTTCGACTCCCGGGTTTGAATAGCTCCCTCAGGATGCAGTATATGGTTACTTGTTTACAGTTCCCGGAAATCATCATAAATTTAGACATCATAGAAATCTGTCACAGATATCCTCTTCTAAAAATCATTTTCCTTCTTCTGGCACTTACTTCTACTTTCGTGCACTGACTTTCGAAAGAATTTTAAACCCTTTTTAGGCCATCTTACAATCGGCAGTAAGGTATCTTAATGAGCTCAGTGAGAAGGCGACGCTGGACGTTATCGCAGGTGATAACGAACACGAGAAGCAGCTGCGCTCGACAATCTCGCAAAATGTAAAAATGGCGATTGGGCTGGCTGGAGCTGTCATAATGGCCGCTACCATGGATGAAAAGGTGAGCGTTCCGATGACTTATTCACCCATACTTCATATCTCGGAAGATACGACTCATTATTGCTATTTGGCTTTAGGATCCTGTAATATGCATGAAAGAGCTGCGAATGGCGTAAAAAAAAGGAGGAAACCTTCGCTTTCTATAGTTCTTCACAACTTTTTGGAAGGAACATTATTAAAGGGAAATTGTAGGATTCGGCGCTCGAGGGTGTACCGGATAGGGAATGGTGTGACGCCAGTCATTGCTTCGTTCGAGGCTTGAGTCGTTCTCTCGTAAGGCAGCTTTCAGACTTCGCGACGGCAGCGCTTCGGTCAGTTCGACGCGATCGATGCAGTCGAAAGCATGCGCATCGATCGTCGAATCGCGCGACCGAAGCGCTGCCGTCGCGAAGTCTAGACGTTGCCTAATGCTCGACCGTTCTATTTTAGTGCTATTCAAACTAGTAGAGCAATTCGACTTGGTGGGACATTTTGCTAGTTCCCATCGGTCAGTGCCGACGCATCTTGCGGAGACCTGTGAGTTTCAGTGAAGCTTTACAATAGCATGACCTTCGTTCACTTGAGAGGAGTATGCAGGCCTCACCAAGGTGATACGGCGTAATTTACTAAGGCGGCAGAAGAAGTTAGCGGAAGTGACAAATGCCCTCTCCCCCCCCCCATCCCCTGCCTGAGTCGAACAGTGCCGAGAGAGTTTACTTCGAAGAGTTTCATGGATTACTTCAGTTTTTATACCAGTATGTTTTTAGACAACTTCGGCTCTGTCACAAACATGCCTGACTTTGACGTCTTTCTCGGACTGTGTTCATAACCTGAACTGTAAAGATGACGCGTTTTTGGTTATGGCGGAAGATGCACGAAAACTTAGCTCTCTGTTCGGACTGGAACGTCCTGCAAGACGTGCTCCTGTCGTACCTTCCAAAAAAGCGTGAGTCCTCTTCAAACTATTCACGAAGGTTTGCAGTCGTAGGTCTAATAGAAAGAATCTACATTTGTGCAGTGCCGTTAGCAGGATGTTGTTCGAGTGTAGAGTATGTGAATTAGCTTGTTTTGGCACTGCTGGTGCTCCCCAGTTGACTCGTTTTTTAAGGCACAGTAGCTCAGAGTCAGGCTCACTAGATTTTCATACATTGGTTATAATAACGCCAAAAATGAATACCTTTGCCATTTTTCCATGGTTTTTTTAATGGTTAACAGTAGAGGAGATTTCGAAATATCTGTCCAGCTCACCGATGGTATGTTCAGGACAAGCACAGTTGACATGATTGGCGATATACGGGAAAGCCTTTCTGACGAATCTCCTGTAACACGTGGTGGAGCTCTCTTGAACGTTAGCCGTTTGATCCGAGCCAGGAACGTAGACATCCTCATGGAACTTGACAAATGGCTATTTAAAGCGATGAAAGGTTGTTCAGGTTTTCTGCTCCTACTACGATTGTTAAAAGACTGTTTAAGAAGCCATTGTGGATCCGGATTCCTATGTTTACCTGGCAGCCATTAATGCCCTTGCGGAAGCCGCTTGTTATGGCTCGACGTACTTGAGGGAGTTGGTCGCGCTGTTCAAATCTTTTCGTAGTTTAGAAGAGATACCTAAGGATGAGGTGAATAGTGAGTCTCATCAGCCCTTGTGACGCTTTCTTATCTGTGATTATGCAGGATGCTGAAACTGAGGCTCCCAGTTCTGCAGATTCTGAGATGGTTGTCCGGTCGAGGCTCTGCGAAGTTTTGGGGAAAGTTTTTCGAGTGCTTGGTGAGTGAACGTTTTTTTGCTAACTGATACTTGTTTAAGATTTCGTTTGTTTCCAGGAGACATGAGCCCCGTTTGGATGGATGAGTCCGCGGGAGTGTTTTTGAGTTGTCTCAGTGAGAATGATGAGATTATCAGAGCAAGTGCCTTGTCATCATTAGCTGAACTTATTTTAGCTTGTCGTGGAAAGAACATCGAAAAGTATCTGGAAGAGGTATTTTCTGTTTTGTTTGCTGGTATAAGAGGAAAGTTGGTTGCTTTTGGAGGGGCACTCCCATTCTGGTAGTTTGAGCCAGGGCTGTTCTGGAGGAGGAAGGGGGCATGTCTGATTGCCAGAGCGCAGACGAGCAACCTTTGTTGCGTCGCCGCGTGCCCTCATCCCTTCTCCCCCCCCCCCCCTCGGCTCCTCCTACAACTCCGGTATGTAAAGTTGATCTTTTAGCTATTCATGGTGTTATGTTACCAATTTGTTCAACATAATTCCAGATTTTCTATGCTGTGGAGAAAATGCTCACGGCCGACCCCAGCTTCTTAGTGAGACGTGCAGCAGTGAATTTACTGCGCCAAATTATCAAGTCCTGTGATACTGCTTTGATAGAGGTATTATTTTCAGTATATTTTGCATATCTTTGCCTATATCCGAAGAGAATGTCGCCTTAAAGGTTATTGGTGATCGTTTACGGGATTTACATCGGGATTTGGTTCGTCTCTGGCGATGGGATTCTGATCACGTTGTTCGGCTACATGCGGAACTTGCCCTCGAAGAGCTTCGTGCTATAATGAAATCTGTCATCACCCAGGAAACCTCTTGCCCGCGACGGATCGTTTTGTGACATTTTCCTCGTTGAATTTATGGTGCCTTGAATTGTTTTCGTTGTTGTTATGTTGTTATACACATAATTTTTGATTTGAAACTCGATTCATTGGTAATAAAAGTCTTAGCAGTCTTTCAGTTTCTGAAATGATTACCTTTGGGTTGACACCATCATTTATTTCTCACTTATTTCTCCACTTTCCGGGAATCGATGGACTTTCAATTTAGTGCTCAGTTCATGTCCAAAAAAGTGGATGTGGCGGCAATTGCGGCTTCAGTTCAAGAGTTTTATAGTACGAACAATGCCGAACGACGAAAGCAACTCGATGAAGATTTATGTCTATTTAAAAGCAGTACGTAGACGCTTCCTACCTTTTCATTGACTTGACGTAGTGATGCTAGGAAGGGGGAAGGACAGCTTGCTCATTCCTGTCTGTGTAAAGCTGCGACATGTTAAAAGTTCTATTTTCCAACCACATTTTGCACAGAGGAATTGATTTGCCTACCCAGTACTACTTTCTTGCTAGGCTAATCTCATCGTACTGGCACATAATCGTTTCTCGTACCCCCTGCACCAAATGCCCTATTGCGAAGGAAAACAAACAAGAAATCACTTGAAAATAAGGCTCAACCATTCCGGAGCTTCATAAGATTTGAACAGATCCTCACAAGATTCCATAGCACAAGAATCAGCAAAGTGCCCCCCCTAACCCGTAGCCGAACTCCGTCTTCTACACCACTGATGTAGTAGCAGTTCTCATTCAATAGTTTCAAGGATTCTCATGTGATGATACGGTAGCTGCGTGCATACTGTTGATGGGATCGCGACATCCTGCCAATGTACAATACTTCGGTGCAGTTTCATTGTATGAGACAATCAGGCACCGGTACGAGGAATGCGTTGCTAATGTAGCCTTGGTTGGACGATTCTTAATGTTACCTTCGTCATGACATTGGGAACCAGTTTCATTATAGATGGAAGTCCTGAAGTCATTTCTCATCGAAAATTTGACATCAAGTGCCCATGTTCAAATGCAATCCATTACGAACAAGTTGTCATCAGCGCTTGCGATACTGTCCTTGTACTGCATGCCAGACGTATGGCCTGATCCTGTGGCATCTTTAACCAACATCTGGGCAGCACAGCCAGAGCTTCTGTTACGGTAATTTTTGTTTTGCATTCTGGTTTGACTTCTAATCCGTGTGAAGTTTTCTAGTTATTCAGAGTGCTGGCAGAAATTGCTGCCGAATTCTCAAACATTCATATGCCGCTTACGCAACGGAGTAAGCTGAAAACCGAACTTCATAAGACTTCCGAGGTTCGTGTAGGACAGTCTAATTTGATGTAGTTGGGTATTTTGTTGGAAATTGAAGATTTAGTCCTTGCTATACCTGCATTTTGATTTCCAAGTAGGGCACATTATCTCGATTCAACGTACGGCCCTTGGAGCTTCCCTCCACCAACAATTGATGGGGCTAGGGAGGAGGAACAGCGAAAATCAACAATGCATGCAAACAAAAAAGCAACCAGAATTCACCATCGGGATGGAAGGCATCGTCAGACCATCCCCCCCCCAACCCCGAAATTTCTTCCTCCGGTACGACCGCCTTCACCCGTAATGCCCACCATCTTCCTAGGTCTTTCAAACTTCTTACCACGTTGTCCAGCTTTTCAAAAACTTCCGGTTTTTCTCAGAAAACTGCCATCGAACAGAGGGGTCTGAAATAGTGGTAAAATGACGCCAGCAACTGGGGGAGAAGTTTTTTTGTGGGTCGGAAAAAATTCCGTGAGAATCAGACTAATGGTAAGCTCCCATCGGCGGGTGTAGGTTAGGACTCCACGAGGTCGCGGCTGAAATGTCCCGCCTCGCCGCGCGCGGCGGACTTGCATAAATTCTGTGATTTCACGAGAGCAACATGGTCGTGCGATTAAGATCCCGTCCCTTCACATAGTTCTGGCATCACGCGAACCTGCTTGGGATTTTTCCAAACCAGAATATTCAATGGGCCGACAGTATTTTTGAATGGCAGCTGTACTTATTCGACGGGTTGCTGTATTTCTTCAATAGGACCTACTTTCACCCGCGTCCTTGCGCGAGGAATCTTAAAACCTTACAATATCTTACTTGAGGCCAAAAGAAGGGATTTCACAAAAAGAAAATTTTCGTAGATTGCTGATGTATTCTCTAAATATTATTTCTATGTTAATGGGCGTTGTTTTATACTAGTAGTTGAATATCGGGCCCATTCCTTTCATAGCCTTCACACCTGCAAGTATAAAGCAGACGGTTGGAAATCTCATGAACTATGCAAATGCAAAAAATACATAGCGAAAGCATCGCGGAGAGCACCTCCGCGGCGGCGGCAGGCTGACCTCTCGTGGGAATGAGCTAACCGTATCCCCCCCCCCTCCCATCGGCAGAGTACACGACCTCCTCCCAATGACGAAGTAGGTGCTCCCCTTGTTGTTCCAACAATGCTATACCCTCAAAGCAACTCATTTCAAAGAATTCTCACTGGCGATGTGCCCTTTTCCCATGTGCCGCGAATTTCGTATTTTCTTCAGTTCTTCGCATTTCACTTCCCTTCTAAGCTTGAATCGCTCCGGCTGCTCTTTTGTTCAAGTAGTCTAGAGCAAGATCAGTAGGTTTCAGAATCCCCTTTCAGGATATAATTCGTATCATATCCACCGTAATGCGTGCAGAAGATGCGTCACCGTCTACTCGGCAAGCAGCGGTTGAATGTGTGGAGCAGTGGGTAAAGTTGCCTGGCGTTGGTCTACATCAATGGACACCTGTCTTATCGATAGTATTTGGCGCTGTTTCTGAGGATAGGTCCGTGTCACATGGTACGTCTGCTACCAGTTCGTTTCCCTAATCTTTTTTTTCAAGTGCTGCTCTTACCAATCTTCTCAATATACTGGCAGCCAACGACGAATTGACTTCTATCGATCAACTTGTGCAGGATATATGCCAGTACATCACAACGGCTGGTGCGCAGGTTGGCTGTTTCTTCTTCTCATGAGAGGATGAAGCTTTCAGCTTTAACCTGTCTTTCTGGGATGCGCCACGCATTCTGCTTTCGTTCGGAATCGTGATGGAATTTTGAATGCTGAGCTTGATTTCTGCATTATAGTTTTACTAATAGTTTCTCTCATGTTGCTATAACCGTATGTGTCAGTACGAAAAAAGTTTTGTCAGATAATCGCAACCGAGCTGGCGGAAGATATCCACAGTGAAGACGTGGTATCTCTCGTTTCAGCAGTCTGCACTATTGCGGTAACCTCAGTCCCAACGCTGTTGCGGAATGCCAAGAACAGCCCAGCTTTACTCTGGTAACACTTACAAGGCTATAGCCCTCCTGTTTAACACCCTGGTTATCATGATTTGCTTTAGCGACCTGTGCTCTTTATTCGCTAATATAAGTTCATGTGATGGAGCTTATGCTGTCGATGAAATGATTTCCGACTTACCGGCGCCATTCTTCATGACCCTGCGTGAGCATTTGGGAGCGGCTGCTACAGGAAGCAAACACGACGTACTTTCCAATGTATGTTCCTTTCTTCTTCGCTGGGATACTTACATTGTGTGCCTTACTACTGTCTTCTCTGACATCCAACCCATTCAGGTTGCTAGGGCCGTCAGCTCTTACTATGCTGACGTTTGCTGTGCTGCTATTGATAAAATGTCCTATCCTCCAGCAGATCGCTTTGATCAATACGACAAGTCTGAGAAAGAGCAGTTTTCTAGGTTTGACAAATTCTAACCTTTTATACTTATGGCAGATTTTGGGCATTTCATCGATTGTACGCGATCAATAAGTTTCTTACTTGCCCGTAATGTGGGGAGAAGGGTAGTCATATCCCTGCTTAGGTATCGGATGGCTCGCAGCGAAGTATCAATCGATGCCTATTTTATGATGGGAAAAGACACATTGAAATTTCTGAACCAAGAGCTAGAGACAGCTATAGAGAAAGGTGATCTATGCAGGTAAGAGATCTTTCTTCGTCCATCATTATTCTGAGGTAGCTTGAACATTTCTGCAGAACCTGAATGTATCATGTTCTTCTGGGAAGCAGTGGCTGACTACCTGTCGGAATCGGATTACCAGGAGATTTGTACAAACCTCGAACTGTGCACACGATTATCAAACATAGGCGAAGGAGCTGATGCAGACAGATTAGCGAACACTACGATGAGG